CCCCGTTAAGGAGATTCACCCTCTCTATTTGTCCTGTTTACCATTACCATTGAAAGTGGAAGTAAAATGAAACCCCAAGTTTTGCTGTGTCCCCAGAAAAGTAATAGAGTGGGGGACATTAGTTTTGCTGACCTGGGGATCCCCGAGGAATTCCCTTAATATTCAGGGATTTCCTCGCACTTCCTGTTTGGCTATGGGACAGGAAGTGAAGGGAAATCTACCCAATGAGACACAGATGGCGAAAAATATTCTGACTTGGGTTTTAACCCTCCCTTGCTCTATCCAAAATGAATAAAATGTTTTGACTGTAGTTCTACTTTGAGCCCAGATTCACATTAGTGCTGCTGCATAACCATGCGTTACCGTTCAGTGGATTTATGTAGCATGTTTTTTTTTTTTTTCTGTGCTTTTTAAAGCTTTTTTAATGTTTCATAAATTTTTTTGTAGAAAGAGACTTGTTGTTAACCACATCCCGTCCGGCCCAAGTATATAAATGGCTGGACAGAAGTAGAGCAGGAGCGGGTTGCCGTTCATAATTGGAGCCCGTCATTTTAGCCTGTGTGAACTCCCTAGGAGCGCGCGGCACCGCGATCCGGTGCCCGCTGTGCCCAGAGGACACAGTGGAACACCGATCGCTGTACAGGACCTCTGTGTGAGGTCCCGATCATGTGATCACTGATTGGCCAATCAGTGATCACATGAATAGTAGTAAGTAAGATGTCACTTCTGACATCATTGCTTACTACGTGTGAAATCTGTGAATGATCACAGAGATCACATGGTACAAGGCTATTCACAACAGCCTTGTACCATGTGACAAGCTGTGACCAATCACAGCTCTCACAGTATTTCTCGATGGCTGCAAGAATGCAGCCAGAGAGAAAGAGAAATTATTGATTTTACAGCCTTTATGGGTGTAAAAGCAATCAGTGTAAAAAAGAAAAAACAAATCTTCATCAATCCCCACAAGTAGTACAGTGTCACTATGGTGACACTGTACTGCTAGGGTGACAGTATGTTAAAAAAAACCACATAAATAATAATATTAAAAAAAAAAGTAAAATAATTTTTTTTTAAATTATAATTTTTGGTTATAAACTAATTTGGGTTATTTTTTTTTTTTTGCTAAAAAGATAACTGAATAAATTTTGGCCAAGATTTATGAAGAAAGATTATTTATTAGCAAAATTTTATAAGAAAAACACTTTTTTTTTTTTTTTTGGACTTTTCCATTTATATAATAAAAAGAAATAAAAATCCCAGTGGTGAACAAATACCACCAAAATAAAGTTTTATCTGTCTAAACAAATGCTAAAAAAATTCATATGGGTACAGTGTTGCATTACCGCGCAATTGTCATTAAAAGTGTGACAGCACTAAAAGCTGAAAATTGACCTGGACAGGAAGGGGGTAAAAGTGTCCAGACATGAAGTGGTTAACACAAAAGCCTGCCAAACACGAACCAAAAATGCTTGTACAGTATATACATGTGATTTCCATGTACTTCCATTGAAGTCTATGGGGTCAAAAAACACCATGCTTCGCCAAAAGAAGCACCTGCTTCTTTTTCAAAATTTGCACTGCATCATGTTGCATGGATGTGAACAGACACCAGGGGCGGACTGACAATTGGGGAACTCAGGAGGGCCCGGGGTCAGTAGGGGGCCCCATGAGATGTCCCTGGTACCTTTCATAGGCTTTTTTGGGTGTGATTTGAGTGTGGGCGAGGACACAGGGGCCCCATGATCCCCTATTGCCTGGGGCCCCATGAGTTGTCAGTCCGCCCCTGACAGGCACCATAGAGAATGATGTGATTTCCATTGTCCTGCATTACAATTGCGATGGCAGATGCAGGAGAAATCACACTAGCTTGAATGGAGCCTTACACAGAGTTGTCACAGCTGTTATCCTTTGGATTGCTAGAGAGCTGCAACGTAAGAAAGGAACCAAAAAAGTGCTTACAATAACCTCTATGAGCATGTTGTATTAGCTGGCATAGCAGAGGAAAAGCATGAGCTTTACACTTTCCAGATTGCAAAAATTTAGAAAACTATGGGCATTTAAATGCTACCATTTTGTTTTCAAAATAACCAAGTTTGTTTGGCTTCTTACTCCGGTGTAAATAACCACCAGCTCAGGCTGTGTTTGTGATCACAATCATTGGCAGATTGGAATTGTCTTCAAGAATTGGATGTAATATATTGGCATCCTACAGTCTTTGGATCAAATGGCAACACAATCTCATTATGTATTTATTCCCCGTTCCACCTCCCACTGCTTGCTATCATGCTTCTGGTAATTACTTGGGATGACGAGCAAGCGTTCTTGGCGCACGATCGGCATCACAAGTTCAATTAATTCTCTTTACTTTCAGCCTCTTCTACATGATGACATTTCATTTTGCTGGAAGATGAGAGTTAATAACCAGCATTTTTTCTGTATTGTATCTCCAAAGAATAAGAGATTTGCAAACTTCTGTATCTTTCAGAAACCATAGAAATTATACTGTTATGCATTGTTGTGTTATTTAAAGCGCTGAGTCTTTTCACTGTACGTTGGGTTTAAAATTCATCTCATGCCTCGAAGATTGTTGACCCAGCATCATATCTGAGTGCGATGAAATAAAAAGTGATTAAGAACCATTTTCTGGCTCACAGTGAAAGGGTAAAGGCATAATTAGGAAGATGACTGTCATCTAAAATGCTAAGCGGTCGTATTTTAATTTCTTGGCAGTAAGATATTTGGATGCCATAATATAAACTTTTGTGGTAGAATCAACACCTTGTATGATATTTATGTCATTGGATAGCACTGAGTTAAAGTAATTGACTGTCAATTAGCCGAATGAGTAAAAAAAAAAAAAAAAAATTACTGTTATGGCATCTAAGAGTAGGTTGAATTTAAAGGGCAAATCCATGCAATGCAAACTGATCAAAGAAGAAAGAATGGAAAGGGTGGGAGAGCCCCAGCAGCAGTCCTCGAGGAGAATGTAGGATTTACCAATGGCCATGCCACCCAACTTGACTGGGCGTTCAAGAGATAACTCCTCTTATCTTTGTAGAGGCACAATGCTGTTTAGCACCAAGAACCCAACAGTGGTAATGAGGTTCTGAGTGTCAAAAACAAGTCAGAATATCCCAGCACCCCTCATACTCTGACTCCCTATTAATAATCATGCCATTCAGGTGACCCTGATATTTTTTTTGCCTCGCCCAAACCCTAAAACGTAACCTTACACTTCCTCCTTAACGAAATCATAAAATTTAACACTTAACCTGGCCTAATATTTTACTGAATTCCTCAAATGAACCCCTAACAAGTATCCTTAAACTAACTCTTAACACTAAATTTGACTCTAACACTAAATCCTTAACCTTACCCTCACTGTTATCCTAATTCATTTAAATTAATCTCTTCCCTTTCATCTGACCCTATCACTTAACCCTTAAGCCTCACCCTAAACTTAACCTTTAGGAGGATTTAAAGAGTAGCTCCACTTTTGTTGAGAAAAAAACTCCCCCGTTGGCGATCTGTGTACATTTCAAGAAGTTTAACAAACGTTGCTGCAGATTCCTACCTTTTGTTATTCTGAAGAAAGAGCTGTTTGTGTCCAGGTGCAGAGTGAATCTGTATGGGAGTTGTTTCATAATTATTTTTCATCTGCTGCACTTTTAGGGTTCTAATGAGGAAAATTGCAGGGTCTGCATCCCTTTCGACGTGATTTCCTATTGGGGGTATCTTACCAAAGATGACATTTTTGTTGCAGGGGATGCCTGAAATCTGACGTATATCTTTGTGCAGACTTCTGGGAAAATCAGTGAGCCAATTGCACAAGCAGGGAAGGATGGTTCTGGGGGCGTTCTGTACATATTCTGTGTACAGAACACCTCCAGGTAGGCATATTGCATTGCATTTTACAGAAAATAACAGCGCTGCAGATTGAAACGGAAAGGTCATATTTAATAACATTCAATTACAATATGTCTTGTGTCACAATTGTATATGCTGTATATATTTTTTTTTTATTTGCTTTTATTTTTTCGGTCCAGTCATGTGATCCTGCAGCTTTGTGTAAGGGAGCGCTCTACAGCGGCTGCGACATTCAGGCACTATGACAGCCCCCATAGGATCCTTTGATCCATGCATTGTTGGAACTCCCTCCTCTCCTCTGCAGCAGCCAGAGCTGTGGGATCACATGACCAGATTGGATCAGAATAAAAATAAGTATACAGACCTTTTCTAAACAGGTAAAGCAGAATGGGAAGCAAGAGAAGGGAGGGAACATTTTTAAAAATTGTTATAATTAGGCTTTTCTTCCACTTTAAGACTGAATGGCAGACATATACGAAATAAACAAATTATGCAGCTCCCTATTTATTAATACATTTTTAAAAGTAATTTTTTAAATGTATACACCAGAATTTGGTTTGGCATTAGCCTCTTGAAATCTACTCTACAGCATAGCTCAGACTGGTGGATTAAGAATCAGCACAGGGAGCCAATTAGTTATGTTGCAGTGCAAGGGACCTGCGGAGAGCTGGAGAGAGCAGAGTGAGAAAGAAATGAACCTGTCAGTCTGCTGCTTCTTTCACTATCTGGTTATAGGCATGGTTAGGGAAGACCTGTAAGTGTTACTAAATTTTTGCAAAAGAAAATACGTAACCCCCAACCCCCCTCCCCCCAAACTCTAAATTCCAACCCAAACCTTAACTCGGAGCCAAGATATTTTTCTACTACTTACTTTAAAAAGAAGGATTTTATAGTTGTTGCAGGCAACACAGACAGTTCATCTTTAAGCACATTGATACATGAAGCTGACTGTAACTTTGATTTATGAAACAATTTGCTTCGGTCCAGTCATGTGATCCTGCACACATTAGAAGGTGCTTCTTTTTGCTAGATCTAGTCATGCTGAAGGTTATTACAAGGAACAGTCCTATACGTAAAGTTTCTGTTAATACTACATTGTATTACATTGTCTGTTCTCTTCTATCTTTTAGGCTCCAGCCTACCTAAGCCACAAGTAAAGACGGCATCGTTGGGGCTAGCAGGAAAGGCAAGATCCCCACTTCTCCCAGTGTCAGTCCCAACAGCCCCAGAAATGTCAGAGGAAAGCCACAAACATACAGATGACCCAGCCAGTGTAAGAGCGCTTTTTTTTTGTTGTTTCCTTTTTCTTCTTTTTTCCTATTTTTTTTTGCCCTCTACCTATTGTATCTTATATCTATTGCGCACTTGTACTTAAAGTTAGATTTTAATTGATTTGGTAGATTGCAGAGGGCATGCCACTACGCCTCTGCTGCGTACTGTAGTTGACATAGGGTCCTGCAAAAGGAACCACTGTGTTTGGCAGGGGACCTGACACACCTGGAAGTGTCAAATTCAGTAGATTCTTCCAGCAGTGACTTCTCTACAGTACAACAACAACTGGCAGTCCAGGGAGCGGGAAAGGTGAGTATTAAATATCTTTTATCATGGGTCATTTTTTTTTTTTACTATTTTTATTTTAGTGTTAGAGCTACATTAGTTGCCTATATAGAGATCTACACATTGAGGTAAGTTCATTAAAGGAGTAGAGTGTGGTCACTATTCAAAGTGAATTTTCACTTAGCCTATTAGCCTAGTAACCATAACTAATGTTTCTTTGGTCTCTGTGGTTTCATGTTGTCCCAGGGCAGGCTTGGATCCACTTTTGGCAGACGGTGGTAGTTGGTGAGATGCTTGCAGACCATGGATTGCTTCTAATTGTAATTTTGACTGGTTAACTCTATATGTCAACAGCTCTTATCACTATCATCAGCTATATACCCCTGGGGAAGAGGGAAAAAGGCATTATTTTGAAATACATCGGGTGTATGTCCCTCTGGGGATCATTTCATAATGCATAAGCATCATATGACAATATGATATTCTCCATTGAGGACTTTTTTGGTGTATCTCTGTGACATGCTGTATTTTTCTTAATTACCAAACACCAGACAATTTATGTTATGCTTTTCTGAGTTGTAATACTCATTTTTAAATAAAATGTTTGTAATTTTTTTTACTGTATATACCAGGGTTTCTCAGCTAGGGTTCTATGGAATCCTTAGGTTCCTCCAGAGGTTGCTAGGGGTTCCATGAGAAATGAGCAATTTGTGCCTCTCAAATGAGTTCCCACTAGCACCATTGATCTTTTTAGCTATCTATAAGGGGGTAATTCTTCCCAATAACCACAAGTGTAAGGAGCAGTCTTCCCACTGACCATCACACTACGGTATCATGAGTTATACAGTTGCAAGAAAAAGTATGTGAACCCCTTGGGAGTACGTGGAGTTTTGCATGAATTAGGCATAAAATGTGCTCTAAATGTCATCTAAGTCACAACAATAGAAGAACACAGTCTGCTGAACATAATACTACACAAACATTAGATGTTGCCATGGTTTAATTGCACATAACATGTAAACATTCACAGTGCAGGGAGGAAAAAGTATGTGAGGCCCTAGCTTAATGACTTCTCCCAGAGCTAATTGGAGCCAGGAGTGAGCCAACCTTGACTCCAATCAGTGTGATGATATTATATGTGTTGCTGACAGCTGTCCTGCCCTTAAAAAACACACACCTGTTTTGGGTTTACTGGTTTCAAGAAGCACTGTCTGATGTGAACCATGCCTCGCAGAAAAGAGCTCTCAGAAGACCTATGATCAAGAATTGTTGACTTGCATGAAGCTGGAAAGGGTTACAAAAGTATCTCCAAAAGCCTTGATGTTCATGTGTCCACGGTAAGACAGACTGTCTACAAATGGAGAAAGTTTAGCACTGTTGCTACTCTCCCTAGGCGTGGTCGTCCTGTAAAATTGACTGCAAGAGCACAGCGCAGAATGCTGCATGAGGTAAAGAAGAATCCCAGAGTGTCAGCTAAAGACCTACAGAAATCTCTGGCACATGCTAACATTTTTGTTGACACATCTACAATAAGGAAAACATTAAACAAGAATGGAGTACATGGGAGGACACCACGGAGGAAGCCATTGCTGTCCAAAAAGAATATTGCAGCACGTTTGAAGTTTGCAAAAGAGCACCTGGATGTTCCACAGCACTACTGGCAAAATATACTGTGGACAGATGAAACCAAGATTGAGTTATTTGGGAAGAACACACAACACTATGTGTGGAGAAAAAAAGGCACAGCACACCAACATCAAAACCTCATCCCCACTGTAAAACATGGCGGAGGGAGCATCATGGTTTGGGGCTGCTTTGCTGCCTCAGGGCCTGGACGGATTGTTGTCATTGATGGGAAAATTAATTCCAGAGTTTATCAAGACATTTTGCAGGAAAACGTATGACCATCTGTCTGCCAACTGAAGCTCTGCAGAGGATGGGTGATGCAACAGGACAATGACCGAAAGCATACAAGTAATTCAACAAAAGAATGGCTGCAACAGCACAGAATACGCCTTCTGGAGTGGCCCAGTCAGAGTCCTGACCTCAACCCGATTGAAATGCTGTGGCATGACCTTAAGAGAGCGATTCACACCAGACATCCCAAGAATATTGCTACACTGAAACAGTTTTGGCAAGAGGAGTGGTCCAAAATTACTCCAGATCGTTGTGCAGGTCTGATCTGCAACTATAGGAAACGTTTGGTTGAGGTTATTGCTGCCAAAGGAGGGTCAACCAGTTATTAAGTCCAAAGGTTCACATACATTTTCCTCCCTGCACTGTGAATGTTTACATGTTATGTGCAATTAAACCATGGCAACATGTAACGTTTGTGTAGTATTATGTTCAGCAGACTGTGTTCTTCTATTGTTGTGACTTAGATGACGTTCAGAGCACATTTTATGCCCAATTCATGCAAAACTCCACGTAATCCCAAGGGGTTCACATACTTTTTCTTGCAACTGTAGATATGGCAATTTTCTTGAGACCGGAAAGGTATTACCCATGGGAAATTGCGTGTCTCTCTTGATATTTAAGGTAGGAATGTGGCCAGTGTGACATGAGATTAGGCGGCTATACTATTATATTTAATAATACTTTTGTGCCTTCCAAGCACTCTTGGGTTTGGCAGCTCTGGGTGCGACAAGATATATTGGTGAAAAAATTGCAGTAACTCCATTATTACATAAAATTCCATAATGGTTGTTTTTTCCATATTACCTTCTATTCATCTATTAACTGAGTTTTTGTTCACCCTGCAGGTATACGAACAGGACGATTTAAGTGAACAAATGGCCAGTCTGGAGGGTTTGATGAAGCAGCTCAACGCTATCACGGGCTCCGCTTTCTGAGTTTGGAACTGGCTCTTTTCGCTGCCGCCGGAGCCTGGAAAAACATTGCAGAGCAATGCACTTTTAGCTCCTCCTCAACGGCAGCAAGGGGTTAATGGGACACCTAGGAGCATTGCAGCATACCCGTGTATTAAATCTCACCAGTGAAAACATCCGCACAGACCACACAGGAAATAACCGTGGATTTATTACATCAAGAATCCCCATGACATCCAGGAATAATTTGTTACTCCAGGAACTCTTTCATCGAATCATTTTTATTTTCTCTGGAAACGTCTGGAGGGAGTTTGGTGCAAAAGCCACATTTTCTGAAAGACGAAATTCAGGAACGCCGATATGCCATATTCACAGCTTTCCTAGCTATGGAAGGGAAACAAATATAAATGACAGGATAAAGGATCTGTTCAATCCAAACTCCTATTGTGATTCTAGAGTCTAGATGATGACCTGGGCTGCAGAAAAAAAAAAAATTATCATCTGAGTTCCCAGCTCTAGCTACCCTACTGTGGCCTTTATAGAAGATTCTTACTTCCCCTGTTGGGTTTTTCAATAATGTCTGAAAATTGCAGCAGAGAGACTAAGACATCTTTTGCTGCGAAAAAAAAGCAAGACCCCCATGGTTGGGGGATAGAGCTGGGAAATTAAGCAGGTAGATCCCCAAAGCATATGTGAAGCTTGAATTCAGTAGAATAAATCACAGTTGCAAAGCCAAGAGGTTCACATGGTGGAAAGAAAAGTTGTATTTCTATAATGGTGGTGTTTTTGCCTTACGACAGCTTAAAGTGAGCCTGTGCTATGCCCATTTCTCTAAAGCAAATCTATACAGTTGCATTTTATGATGGATCTAGTGTGCAAGCCCCATGCGTTAACATTCAGAAGTGCTGAATTTTTGTGTACTGAAAATTGAAATACTGACCTCTGTGAGCAAACTCGAGCTTGCCGTAGATGTAAACTGGGCTCAGTGAGAGAGATCCATAGATTCTCCTATCCTAACAGTGAGCATGGGGGTGTCTCTCCTGCTGGTTATTGACAGAATACCCACACAGTGACTGGAGCCGATTGGTCAACTTTTTTCTACCCAGCTCCTTTGATTTCTAAGTTGAAGTTTGATTTCTCAGTTAAAGTTTGTTGGCCATGTGATGTTGACAGGGCCATCTATGGCTTGAGTTTCAGCCGATTCACAGGAAGTGTCTGACATTTGAGTTGTGAATGGGTAGTTTTAGTCCAGCAAATGTACAGGTATTGTAGATGGTGTCACCACAAATGGTTCTGTTGACATCGGGGTGGTGTACCAATGAAACTCCAGCTTTCAGCAGCTCAGAGTATACCTTGGAAAGCTTTTGATTGGTCACTGTGCCCACTGTGATTTTTTCTTATTAGCTGTAGAATGAACTATATTGTATAGTGCAAACACCATTGGTATAAGGTACATTAATTGTTTTATAACCCCCAAAAGATACAGGAACACTGCTGCAGGAGTTAGACCTCGTTCATTGCAATGTACACCCGTGTCTGGGCCGCACTTACCCACACAGTGTCTGTAATCAGGGTCCTGCATCCACACTGGTGTCAAATTTGGAGCAGTGGTTGTGTCCATGCATCCGCTGCTTCCCTATTAACATGAATGGGACTGCCTGCACAGTGATGCATCGAAAACCGGTGCATCCTATGGGGGCAAACACTGTATGCCCTGTGTGAAATAGGCCTTAGGTGCAAACATGGTCCTTCTACAACCAATAAAAGTTCAATCCTTGCCGAGATAAAGCTCCATTCATCACTCTGGACTTCAGTAAATATTTATGACAGTAGCCTACAAAAATCCCCAAATCTCACTGGATTTACACAAAATATTTACTGAAGTACAGCGTGAAGAACGCAGAGTGCAGAAAGTTAGGTGCATTAACCCATATAAACCAATGTGCTGGGTTGCTCCAAGACTTTATATATCATTGTTGCCCTTTTGTATTGCTTTATTTGATCATTCTCTATCTATTTTTTCAGTTATTATTTTTTTGTCACCATTTTAAACCTAGACTGCCTATGTAGCGTGGATTCTAGAAAACGGATCTCTGACCTGAAACGTACCTATACTTATGATTTATGTCTGCCACTAGTCACTAGAAATAGAGCACAGATGAGCGGGTAGAGGACACTGTCTGTTATCGTCTCTATAAAATTGATACTATACATCATACAGTGTCACACAGTCATCCTGTCTCGTTTTATGAAAACTCCGGTTACATTTCTGAAGTTTGTATACAGCTGGGTGACTGTGTAAATAGATATTTTCTTTGGAAAAGTTGGGCATAGTTGCTGATTAATTCAAATTAAGTTACAGGGGCACCATGATGTTCATCCAGAATATGTGAGCTTTTCAATATATAATACTGTTTCTGCAGATCACAAATCACAATATACCCAACAATGATGATGATTACACTGTAAAATATAACCCTTCTGGCTATGTCTCTGACTCAGCCATCGAAGATCTTCTAGGGAACATGTCTGGATAGAAATATGAAAGTCATCTTTATAGGTTCAAAGGTCAGGGTGTTCATCCTTTCTTCAGTAAGTAATGAGTCACTGACCTGTTCAGTATGGAGACAAGGAAGGATTGGGCAGGGGGGCATTTGCCCCTCAGGCCTGCACAAATAATATAAGTTGAGTTGGTGGCTCTTAGTAGGGATACTCCCTCCACTGGACCTAAATCAGAGCGGGAATGGCGGTCATTGACACCTACTGAGCCTTACAGAACTATCTGTTACCCGCTCAAACCTGGGATCTCAGGTGATCTTCCACCAAATGCCAAGAGCTGCAAAACAACTCATTGCTGGAAGAATGCAAAGGCGTTGGGCCCCTATTAAGGGGTTAGTTCACCTTTACCAAAAAAAAATGCCTATTCAAATAAGGGTTGCCTGTAGCTGAAAACAAACTGTGCAAATTTGACGAAATTTGGATAATAATCCTTGCTGTAGGTGTATACCATTTGTGTACCTTTGCAAGTGTGGCACAAAACTCCCACAGATAGCAACATCCCATCCCACCTTGTTTTTAGGAAGTTGCTGAGACAGTTCCACAGTCACTACTGCTCACCTCACCATCACTGGAGCAAGCTCTCAAGCCCCTGCACATGAATGGTCTACTATCTCCTCCATCACAGCATCACTGAGCTCAGACCTACTGCGACAGGGGAGAGAGTGCACGCTATGGGGTTTGAACTGGCTGCCAGTGTTTTATCAATGTCCTAGCAACAAGGCAAAACAGATAATGTCATCTCTGGGAGTTTGTTACATTTATTGTTGAATGTTTTAGCTCACAGCAAAGCACCTTTACCATGACAGGGCCAGATGGTTGTGTTTGCCTCTCAGGTCAAAAGTTCCTGGTCCTCCCTTGTATAGATGTCAGACATTGTAACCGAAATGGATGCATGCTTGTACCAGGTCAGTGACTTACTAGGTAGTGAAGCAAGGATGAGCAAGACAACCACACACACTGCCCTATTAAGAAATGGGTCAACAGTGTCTGTCTATATTTCTTACCTAGTTTTCCTTTCATTGATTCTTATGTATGTAAAAGGAAGCTGGAATGGCGCAGCTGTTCAGATTTATAAACCGGGTATGTTTCCAGAAATGAATCCGTCAAATCTGGAATTGCTTTTGGAAACCTAGGATAGTTTGAAAGTCAGTGAGAAGACCTGACAACTCGTGGCTTCCCAGCAAGCCTTGACCTTCAAAGACTGCCTAAAGAGAAACAAACTGGGCAAAAAAACAGGTTGACGTTTCTGGACAGAGTACAGGTTCACTGTATGGTGCATAAGCAACATGTACTTACCTTTAAGTTACCCACAGATGAAAGTACTGTGCACATTTCTGTATCCCCACACAACAGTATTGAAGCCTGGCAATTAAGGCAGATTAAGGCACCTAGCATTGCATGGTGGGGAGGCAAGGGCATGATGTGTGTGCCCAGTATCCAGAAGTATCCAATATTTTCTTTCTGATGCGCCACTGGCTCTCAGTGTTGGTGGAGAGGGTGGAAGGTATGTGCACGCTGTTTATTTTGTATAGAGTATTGCATACTTGTTATTTGCCCAGTTTGGTCAATGTAACCTCCATTTTAAGACTACCCGTTCACAGTCCAGACTGCTTAAAGGGTTACTCTAGATAAAAATTGATATTTCAGTCTTTGGTAAATGTTGGAGAGTTTAATAACTTTTTTAATTATCCAGGACGTTTGATGATGGGATCTCTCTAACATAGTTCCCAGGTTGTTGACTTCATAATTGAGTCCTGGAGAAATGTAAGAATTTGACGATTGATTCTACCTCCCAGCATCCATTCATAGCTGGATCCTTTTGGTGGACTGACATAGTAATTTCTTATTTTGAACTCATGGCAGTCCAAATAAAGATCCACCATTGTTAGGATATCTGCCAACCTTATAAAACCCATTCTTTCCATCATTTCTAGGCATAAACACTCTTACATCCATCATAGCCTTAGGAAGTCTTATCATCACCTTGAAACACAAGGTATTTTTGGTTTAATTACACATAAACATTTGTAAGAGACTCCTAGTATTATTTTGCCATTAAAGTCTGGGCGTATACCTCTCACTTTCTATAATATTGTGATTTACTAATTAACATTGTGAAAAATAATGTAGAATTAGCCACAACATCCAAAACAGAGATCATCTTTCATTTAAGAACTCATGTCTGATTGGTTGGTATGGGTAATGTCACACCATTGTTTTATGCACTGTGATATGACAAAAATCACAGCAAGTTGGAAACATTCCAGGTGCAAAAAGGGAATCCAAAAAATATACGCATTTCAAAGGCTGTTAATGGTGTTACCTATCTTTAAGAATACTTGACAGTTTCTGTAAGACGTTCCGTTACACAGAGTGTTTTTTATATTTTTCTACTTTCAACCTTATAACACAAGCTACAATAGTATTCTTAACAAAAGGCAAATATCACAAAAATTCACAAACTCTAAAGGTTTTGTTCATTCCTTACTAGTATGTTCTGATTTTAGTGAGATTCACTTTAAATTCAACCAGATTCTAGAGGCTATTCAGTGCAGTACAGAAGATGAAGATAAAAATATAATTGGTTGCTATGTGTAAGAGCACATTTATAGTGAACCTGTGTGGATTTCAAAATAGCAGATACATTTGCTGACTCTAGCACTTCCATCTCCAGTAGATCCTGACTACACATTGTAGTACAACCATTCTTCACCAGAGTTTCATAGAAGCTTAGGTTCCTCCAATGGTTGCTAAGAGATCCTTTAGCTCATCCATCCTCAACCATTTCAACAAAGAGGAACCCTTAAAATAACTTTCTGGGAACCCTGGTTAAAAATGACTATATGTGCAACTACTTTACATTAATTTGATGATCAGTGGGAAGAATGCTTCTTAGACTAGTGGTCTTTGGGAGGAATTACCCCTTACAGATAGCTAAAAAGATCATTGGTGTCAGTGGGAAGTTATCTGAGAGGCAGACATTGCTCATTGCTCAAGGAACCCCTATCAACCTCTGGAAGAACCCTAGAGTTTCATGGAACCCTGGTTAAGAAACCCTGCTTTAACTGTTGCTGATTGACCTCCCATCCGGTGGTGCCTGTCTAGCTCAGGGGTCAGTGCCACTTGGCAAAGGCAGCCTGAATGAACTGAACTAAATGATCTATATGGCTGTTTTAAGGAAGGCATTCTGACTACTACTGTAAGGGGGGGAAATCTTCCCAGTAGCCATCAATGTAAGGGGCATTTTCACACTGACCAACAATGAATTGGTTTTAGCAAGGGTTTCTCAAGACCTGAAAAATTATATCAAGGGTTCCTTTCAGGAAGAAAGGCTGATCCAGTAAGTTACTAGCTTGTAATGTCTGAAGACCAACAACTTGCTATGTTGTAATTATATAAGTCGGCAATGACAGCCTCCTTATTGCCATACTCGCAGGTTTACTATAATGTGAGATAGCATTATGTTGCAGTTTGTGGAGCAGGTGGCAGGTAAGGAGAATAGAAATACTCAAATCCATGCCACTGTTCTGTCTACTAGTTTGAAATCCAGGTAGTCCTCAGGCCCTCCCCTCTGGTCCCTTAAAGTGTTAGAGAGAGAAATTAGGTGAATCTCTAACAACCAGCCAGGGTGCAGTAGGAGAGTTTTTGAAGGTGCACTGATTGGTGAGATACACCAATCAGGAGGTCAATGTTATTCTCACATTACACTCCACCCTCCCAATCTATCTTAGTAGACTTGCCCTTGAAGTGTTTTTAGAATTTTTTTTTCAGACTTGTCCTCATAACAACCCTTCATTGCATCTCTCAGGAGTGTATACATGCCCATTTCATCCCATTTATTAAAGGAAGGATATATATGCTCCAATTATGACTAGTGTGGGTCATCTGTCACAGTATGCTGAACATCATACAGCTCAACAGGAGTGAGGTGGTAGAAAAAAAAAAAAAAAACGAAACCATTTTTTTTTATAACTGTAAAATAATTCCGCCAGTTCAGGACTTTGCGAGCTGGCGGCAGCGTGGGGGTGGGGTTGGGGGCAGCGGGGTGTGCTTTTTTATAAGTATTATTTAATTTATTATTTAGAATGTTTCCTTTTAGGTAAATTATGGTAAATTTGGTAACTGAAATGGAATAGTTGACGCCGGGTTTGAGAACTGATGTGCATCCTTCGTGTCCTGTAGAAACAGTTCTTGTCATCACACGGTTGCTAAGCTTTCCTGAACTAGATTGGCTGCTGATTTATGGAATCTTTTTTATTTGCAGTGGTTGTTGTGTGTCATGTTGTAGAAAACTTTGTTCCTAGTAGCTGTAAATTGAAAATTATTTACTAAGACTATGCATTTGACTGTAGCTGTACAATGTGTCCCATGCTTTCTTCATACCTTTAAGGTCTCTCAAGCTTCCAGGAAAGTTGTTTCTTGAAACAAACAGAGGTTGCCTCTCAACAGCTCTTTCATGGCAAAATTGAATCTCGGATTTAGGGTCATAACATTTATTGGCTGAATAAATAGATTTTAGTGCAAGCTATCTAGGCACTTTGTTCTCTTCGTCAGGCAATACTGGCCAGTGTGCAATACTGGCCAGTGTGCTTACAGAGCTTGAACTACAATCTACTTAGCCAAAAAAATGGTATCACCATCAATCTGACCTTTTTTTTATATGAGTAATTTAAAACGCCTACCCACTTTACTTTTTTAGGATTGGCTTAAAGTAGGAAAGAAAATGCAGTGGGATTAAGGGTACCATTGAAATAAAATGGCAAAAGGAGAATGGCCAACCAGTAGAAGGGACCAACCAACAAACATTTTTGGAAAAAGAATATTCTATGTTTTCCACATACATAAGATTCTAGCTACCCAGAAAACAAAATAATTCTTAATTGGAGAACAAAGCAACAGATTGCTTTGTAATGTTGATAATTTGAAGAGATTATTAGTTATTTAAAATTCAAGTTAGCATTCCGAATAAACCTCGGAAATATTGTTTTAGGTGCTGTAATGGCCAGGTAATCCTGCATCCCCTAGTTAAGAATAAATATAATATGAGTAGCTTTCTTGGAAAACTTGATGCCAGTCTTTCATATATAAAACACCCTTTGGTTATATATGTGATGTAATCATTGCTGGGGGCTACTCTTCAGCCCTATATGAAATGGTTGTCAAGCAGTAAGTAAAACCTGTCCAGACCTCCTCTGGAAGGATATGGGATTACAAACCTGTACTATCCCCCCACATCCAATTTGATCTGCTTTGCTAATCTGTGGTCTCCTCCAGTTGGCCATTGGGCTACCTATCATGTCTATCAGATTGGCAGCCCAAAGGTCAACTGAAGGAGCTAACAACTCTAATTCTAACTGCAAGCCAAAGGTTTAGTATTGTCAGCCTGAAATGTGAAGTCTGCTACAGGCTCTATAGGTAAGGGCTCATGCAAAGTGGGACATTTACCGAAAAAATCCAGCCATTATTCAGTGTCTGAGAGCCACAGGTTTTCGTATAGCCAACTGAACAAAAGAATTCGATGTCATAGACAGCTCTCTAGTCACAATCAGGAGCCAGTGGGGAAGGCCTCCCGATCACGTGACCACTGTGACAACAAAAAACAGTGGTCACATGATCAGGAATTCCGTCCTCCCCCCCCCCCCCCCCGGGGCTACGTAGGAAGGGGTTAAGTTGTGTATACCCACATACAGCCATATCATGTAATTCATTTGTACAGGCAGCTGCATTCAACACCTGTGGCTCCCACGTGATGATTTAAGGCCATGTTTTACATTATATGCCCCAATACCCCCATGTGCATGAAACCTGAGGACCTTTGCAACAGATTCACAAAATATAATGTACTTGAGAAAAACTGCATACTGCCAAGCATACTGAAAAGTAGATTTAGGGAGTATATTTTAAGGCAACGGGTTTCTTGGCTTGCAAGGCTACTAGAAATAACGTGAACACCTTACGGGTCAACATCAACCCATTTTTTTGGTGGCCATCGCCCTATTGTGGTATGGGTCCAGGGTTATAATATTTATTCCGTCTTTTTATTAGGAGCATATATTAGCCAAGTGGTGTCAGACACTGATGAGGCATTTCCAATGAGAAGCAAGAGAATGCATGTGCTTCATGTCTTATTACAACCCAGCACAAAATGAAGTCTGGAAAACTATTTCCAAACTCACGCTTGTGAATTACGATATTTAAGCTTCTTTACCCTTTACAACTAAGAAGCGATGTTTGTCTATGCCTAAAACTGCAATGTGTGTATTTTTTTTTTTCCCTAATGTAACTGGATGTACATCAACATCAGGCAACGGCGTCAGCTATCTCCAGTACTAAAAGCCTCCACATGGAACTGAGATTGAGTAGAATTTCTTAAACTGTAAATCAAATTAGATTAGTGATTGCAATATTTAAATGTCATTTCTGTTTCTCAGAAAGGAAACGTAACTTCTAGTTTAAAACTGACTGTTTCTACATGAAATCTTGTATACGATTCCAAGGAGAAAAAAAAAAAAAAAAAAAAAGGGTTCTTTTTTTAAAGCACTGTAGGACGGTCCATATTAGTTTTTTTTTTAGAAATGGTACCCAATGTTGCATTCTTTTGTTTATTGAATAAAGTTTTGATATAAAACAAACTTTTCTGTCTGCTATTTTTTGTATAGTTGTACTAGCAAAAAAGGTTTCTTTTTTTATCTTTTTTTTGATTGGGTTGGAACATAAATGGTTTTAGGCTTCATGCACACTGCAGCTGTCAAATCAGGGGCGGACTGACAACTCATGGGCCCCCGGGCAATAGGGGATCATGGGGCCCCTGTGTCCTTGCCCAAACTCAAAAAAGTCTATGAAAAAGTACCAGGGGCATCTCATGGGTCCCCTACTGATCCCGGGCCCTCGGGCAGTGTCCGAGTTTCCAAATGGTCAGTCCGCCCCTGTGTGAAATGTACATTTTACAGGAGTTTGACTTTTTTTTTTTTTCTGTCCCAAAACACCACTCTGTGTTATCCTGTAGGGGGGATTTATTAAAGCCAGTGCACACAGAATCTGGTGAAGCTGTACATGGTAGCCAATCAGCTTCTAACTTCAGCTTGTTCAGTTAAGCTTTGACAATAAAACCTGGAAGCTGATTGGTTTTTGTGCAGAACTGCACCAGATTTTGCACTCTCCACTTTTAGTAAATACCCCCTCTGTGTCCATGCACACGAGGAGTTTACAGGCGTTTAGAGGCTGAAATCTAAATGTACCATAATTATGTTCAGGAGTGGAGTGTTTGGGCAGAAAAAATGCCCAACATGCCTAAACACGTGTAAATTCGCCTAAATGCTCGGCGCATTTAGTGCTTGAGCGTGCATTCATTTCAGTGGCCAGAATAAATTATTATTCTGGCCAATGAAATTATTGAACACCCAAATGTTCACACACCTGATGTAAAGGGGAGCTCTGATGTAAAGGGCAATGCTGCAGACCCTGATATAAGTGGGAACTCTGATGTAAAATGGAATGCTGCGGACTCTGATGTAAGGTCACCAAAGACTACCTTACAACAGAGTTCCCCTTTACACCAGAGTCCACAGCATTCCCCCTTACATCATGGTCTGCAGCATTCTCCTTTACATTAGGCTCCAGAAATCCCCTTTGCACTGTAAGGGGGAATCCTGTAGACTGTGATGTAAGGGGGAACTCTGGATTCGCATGTAAGGGGGAAGGGGCTCTGGTGACAACAGACCCTCTTACCTCAGAGTTCCCCTTTACATCACAATGTGCAGCATTGCCCTTTACATCAGGGCACACAGTGTTCCCCTTTACATCAGGGTGTCTGCAGAGTTCCCCCTTACACTGTAGGAAAAAATAATAAATGCACTTTTGTTTTCTGCAAAAAATATGTGTATTTAATATTTTTTTTCCTGAAAGGTGATGGAAGCCTTTGAAAAAGATGGAATCGATTGCTAGCCCAAAAAGCTGCAGGCAGGAAGATGGCTAATACTGGCTGCCAGGTGGTGACTCTTATCAGGGGGCGCACCTAGGGTTGGTTTCACCCGGTGCCGGAACACTTGGACTATGATCCATTATGCTCAATCCGCAGATCCGATCCATCCTGCAAGGATCGTCGGCTTGCTTAAAACCTACCTTTCTGTGGAGCGGGTCCGGTGTCACCCCAAGCAAATGGTGTCACCCGGTGCGATGCGCACCTCCTGCACCTTCCTAGGGATGCCCCTGACTCTAATATTTGCTCTCTTGCAGAACTACAGCATCCACTGCTATACAACATGTCCGGGTGTAACTGGTGTTGGCCTCCTGCTGCACTCAGTAAGCCTAGCCGCTGGCCCCTATGTAATCACTATGTCCAGTAATGATGAAGCACCTAGTGGGTTCTACCAAGTGGGTGCTGGCTACAGCACAGTGAGTAGAGCCATAGAGTGTAGCAGGCAACCGGTGTCTGTATCTCTACAATGAGAGAAGATTGGAGTTACCGCCATCTGGACAACAATAATGATGATAAGGTAATAATACGTTAACAATAAAATAGTAAAATAAGTGAGCGCTACAACAATCACAAGCAGCCAAAGCACCAAAAGGCAGACCAAAAACCTCCAGAATAATCAAGGAAAACAAAAAGGTGCTGCGCTGGAATCCCTAAAATCCAATTAAAATGCATACATATAAATTGCACTTAACCCAGATGTGGATAAAAGTGACAAACGTGCACAATGCAAGGTAAAGTGATATTGGTGAGCACTATCAATGAGGGTTACCCCTCATGAATACGTGCTTTAGCACGAAACTCATCGAGGAGGAGCCGTGTGCAGTGACCCTTTGCCGCCGCAACGGCGTGGAGGTTCGGCGGCCATCTTAGCATTCCACATGGTCAGTGTTTTATTTGTCTTTTGCTTATAATAAATGAATGTTGCTTGGAAATACTGCACTATGGGCTTCCTTCTTTTTGGCTCCTTGTGAGCGGATACCTGTACAGAGCCCATCCAGGAGTGAGGCCTAAGGTGCTGCAAACTGCCCAGGGGAAGGGGATCCATAACAGTTTGTGACCAGACCAGGCTGACCCGGTTCCGATAGGAGATTCCAGCAGACATCCTTGAGCTTTACCTTACATATATGCACATAAAAGTTGCGCATCTGGTGAGTGCGTATTCCTAAAAATTTCATGGCACATCACCAGAATGTTGTAAGGAGCACTTGTCTGAGACCTTCTCAGATGGATCATCACTTCTAAAGCACTTTATGAACTGTTTTATAGGACTGTGTATCATCATGAACACCTAGCACATTGATAGTGCTCACCAATATCACTTTACCTTGCATTGTGCACGTTTGTCACTTTTATCCACATCTGGGTTAAGTGCACATTATATGTATGCATTTTAATTGGATTTTAGGGATTCCAGCGCCGCACCTTTTTGTTTTCCTTAGGTAATAGTAAGTTGTTAAACCCAAAACCAAAAAATTTCATATATTGTAGCTCCTAAACCCAGAGTTTGTTTAAACAAAATATGCTACCAAGATAACGTAAAGCTGTCAGTATACTCACTGCACCATCAGGGAGTAGTGTTGTGGATAGACAGGGAAGTCATCCAAGTTGCCAGGAAGGAGCAACAGTGCAAGGAATTAACTTTTAACTTTGACTTTCAAGCTAACTGTAGGGGCCCTGCCATAAGATGGAGTGTCCCTAATTACATTTAGTACATTTTGAAGCCCAGGCTTATTCCTGTTATTGCTGAGGAAGTTCCAGTGACCAGTGTGGAAAGGACAATCACTGAGCTATGAATATTTGTCTGACCCAACCAGGGCGGACTGACAACTCATGGGGCCCCCGAGCAATAGTGGATCATGGGGCCCCTGTGTCCTTGCCCAAACTCAAAAAAGCCTATAAAAAAGGTACCAGGGGCATCTCATGGGGCCCCCTACTGACCTTGGGCCCTCGGGCAGTGCTCAAGTTTCCAAATGGTCAGTCCACCCCTGGACCCAACCAATCTCTGAGGTCTTTGTTCAGAGGTATGATAAAAATTTGGAGCCCTTTCAAGAGTGTTCTTCCCTCTCCACCTGGGCTTTTGCCTGGAGAAAATGTGTCACCATCTGGGATCAGGCTCGGAGGCCAGTGGCTGTGGTAGTAAAGAGGTTCAAGCAGTGATCAGCTGGATAAATACACAATCAGATATCCTAGCAGATGATGCGGGCTCACCCAAGGTGCAGGGTCTAAGCACTCGCCGATCTTCACCAGAGCTCCTGATGGTGGAGATGGGTTTTGTTGCATGCCAACAAGGGCAAATTTACCACAAGGCACACAAGGCATTTGCCTAGGACGGCATTTTTCAGGGGGGCAGCACTGCCCCCGATAGAAGGGACACATGCGGCACAGGGACCAGGTGGGATCTGAGAGAGGCTGCAGACTGCTTCATGTGTTTGCAGAGCCCGTCTCTTGTTCCCAGGGATGTCCAGAGCTGCGAAGGTTAGTGTCTTCCTCTCTCTCTCCAGGAAGGTCGCGGGTTGTATGTTAGTGGAAGGCTCTCTCAGGTGGGGGAAGGCAGGGGTGTTGTTGATTAATGTCAGGCTCTCTCCACGGGGGGGGGTGTTGGTCGGTGTCAGGCTCTCTCTCCTCCCCGGGGGGGGGGCTCTGAATTTCTTTGTTGCCTAGGGCAGCACAAAAGCAAAATACACCACTGCATGCCAATGCTAGGTCGGGGTGTGACCCTGACTGGGTATCTACGCCAAGATGGTGCTTCCCACGCTCTGGAATAGGAGGCAAGTGACTATGGCTGTAGCTACCCCAAAAAACGACAACACCAGTGTTTGGAGTAAGCAAGAAGGACTGACTTAATTACTAAACAGCACCTCATTTATATACAAAAACCTTCCCCTTAGACAGGTATGGCACACGTTACAAGTTCCAGGAGAAAATGACATTACATAAACAAATAAGCAATCAAACACAAGAAAACAATGGATTCCTTCCCGGCACCTAGCAGCCCTAACTCTGGAGATGATTAAACAAAGTGAGAGTTTATTACCTACACCTAATTACAGCAAACAATAATTGATGCGAGGAAACCTGTAACAGAAAATAAAGTTTCTTAACCCTACCTACAGTTAGGTCCATATATACTTGAACACAGGAACAATTTTAGTTTTTTTCAGGTACTTACCAAATTATATTCAAGCTATAGTTATATAATCATAAAATTCAATAAAACCGGCGCCTAATATATAAGGACAATAAGTGTAAATCAATATGTGAAAAATAACAATTAATGCTGCTGTTCAAAAGTGAAAAAAACACTATAACATAAATTGATCAATAAAACAGCGCAAAAAATATATATAATTAATATAAAGAAAAAAAGTCCACAATCCAAAATAATCCATGATTAAGTGCTTCAATAAAAGAACTCCATGCCAAAAAGAAGAAAAGTCCAATAAGAAATATATATCCCGTTCCTCAAAAAATACAAGGTAATTACACCACGTAGTGCTCAGTGATCCCTCCCTTGTGGAATCCACACTCACCAGATATGATGGACTCCTAGCTTTTAGGGCTTAAGAGTCAAAAACGCTTATTACTGGTGAGATGTGCTCACAGATATCCAGCATTCAGTGGAGTATAGATGCAATTCATCAATGTATTCCAAGATTCATCTTCGGGCAAAGGGGAAGTAGAAAGGACACTAATAGTATAATACTGTTTAGCTTCTTTATCCTCCTAGATTGTAAGCTCGAAAGAGCAGGGCCCTCAATCCCCTCATGTTTTGCATCGTATTGGTATTGTTCTGTCACATGTTCTGTCCCCCTTTGTAATGTACAGCGCTGAGCGAACTATTGGCGCTTTATAAATACTGTATAATAATAATAATATTCAAATAAAACAGCGATACATATTGAACTCACATTCTCTAAACAACATATGAGCCTTAAGATTGTATATTATCCACAGCCTTCAACCACTAGTCAAAATGGCTCTGGAGTGCCGCTGTTCAGGCATGCTCAACTCACTGGACGTAGCGTCACACAACCTAGCTGGAACCGGAACGCACCAATGCGTTTCGCCCCTCCTCCAGGGTGTCCTCGCAGACAGTAATCTCCGGTCCCTGCTTGTAAGATATACTCTACGAGCGCCCCTCCCCTCTTAATGACTCACTTCCTGTTGGGTGTATTGGCTTCAGATCGATGGTCCTAAATACTACTTCCTACTCCCAACCATACCGATCAACATCTATTGTTATAAATAACATGAAAATATATGAAAAAAATAAATTACAAAATGGTATATTAACCTCCCTGGCGGTATTCCCGAGTGTAGCTCGGGGTAGAGTTTCAGTACCAAAAGCGGTAACCCCGAGCTACACTCGGGCTTACCATGCAGCATTGCATAGGGAGTCCCTGCAGCGCTTACCTTGTCCTTCGCTCCCGCGATGCGTCCCCTGCAGCGTCCCCGGCCATCTCCTCCAGCCGATGCCGGCATCCGGCTTCCGTGTTCCGGTCCCTGTGACGTCGGGACGTACGAGCGTCGGAACCGGTGGCAAATTTGAAATTTAAAAAAAGAATTTCATTTTTTTAAAAATGATTATTACAAAGTAAAACATTGCTGTTTCAAAACATTTCACATACATTTTGTCCCGAGTGCTTTGTCCTGTCCCCTGCCTGCATTTTGACTGTTCTTTCTGCCTGGAAACTTAGAAAAGTCCATGGCGTCCAAAAAGCGTCCCTTTATGTCAAAAGCGGTTTTAGACCGGCTAGAGAACAGCGATAGTAAATCAGAACCACTTGCAGAATTGAGTGATAATGATTCGTGGGGGGGAAATTCATCATCAGACACTGAAAACGATTCTGCGACTTTGCTCAGCGATGTGCGAACTTGGCGCTCTATTTCAAATTTCAGTGTTTTTGGTTTGATTATATTATTTAATTAAATTTATTATTATTATATTATTATTTTTTATGATTATTTATTAAATTATAATTTATAATTTTGTGTTTCAAGTTTTATGCTACCCGGGATGTTTACTAGACTCTTGTTCGGACAGATTTCAGTGAGTTATTCCTAAATTACAGCCTACAATAAAAAAACTACATATTTCCATGCAAAATAATGGTACCGCTTTCAGCACCAAAAATATGAAATAATCATACCGCCAGGGAGGTTAATATTCTAATAGACATAAAATATATATAAAATAATCAGATAAAATAATTGTGAAGATCGCCAAGGAACCATGCTCCAGATAGAAAAAAAGGAAGAAGCTACCTTCAAGTTGCGGACAGGGCACAACCAGTCATATTTATAACTATCCTACCACCCCATAAGAACTGCAGGGTTACATACAAAAATGTTATTACCAGTTTGAAAGAAAACAATTCAAATCTATCTCTATATTCAACCCCTTAGGGACTAAAATGCCTAATCTGAGAATCCATCTGGTTTCGTTTTCTGAGATTGATTTCTTTAAATCGCCTCCTCGCCAATAAGGCTCCATTTTATCAATTCCAGAAAACTTCAAAAGGGTAGGGTCCCTATTATTAAAATTTCTAAAATGGTAAGACAGACTATGATGTCTAAAGCCCTTTTTGATGTTTCTGATATGTTCACTCAAATGTATAGCAAGCTTTCTAGTGGTTCTCCTTACATATTGCAATTTGCAATGACATTCTAAAAGATAAGTAACATGAAATATATTTTTTAATCTTATAGGTCTCTCCTTTTACATAAGACTGAAAACTATCTATCTTCTTAGTTTTACCCCCCATTGTCCTACAAGCTAAACATTTACCACATCTAAAGAAGCCTATTTAGTCTAAGAAGGTACTTTTCAAGGGGAGGGGTCAGGAACATTTCTGGCAAATTTATTTCTCAAAGTGGGTGGTTTTGTATAAATAAATCTCTGTGTTTTGGGAAAATTATTTTAAGGACATTATCCTGCAAAAGGATTAACCAATATTTCCTAAATATATCCTCAATCAGACTATGCTGTTTGGAATAAGCTGTAATAAATGCTACTCCATAATCTTCCACTTTCTCTATTTTTTAATAATTCTCCTCTATCCATTTCCTTTACCAGATTTTTTTTATTTTTATAAGTATATTTTATAAGTATTTTTTATTTTTGTAAGTATTTTTATATTGTTTTTCTTCGAACCTTTATATAAGAATATCTGTTTGTTCCTCATAGTCACTACTCTCATCACAATTCTGAGTAATTCTCAGAAATTGACTCTTAGGAATCGTATTTAGCCATCTAGGATGATGGCAACTATGTTTGGAAATGTATCCATTCCTATCCACATCCTTAAAGTGAGTTCGGGTAAAAAACGTTTTTTCTTTTCTATATATAGTGAGGTCCAAAAAAAATTGATGGACTCCCCATCAATATTTTTTCAAAAGGAAATGTTATACTTGTTCATACCCATTTGGTTAATAAACTCCACAAGAGATTCCTGAGATCCTTTCCAAATAATACAAATATCATCGATATATCTTTTATATAGCTTTAATTCTGATCTCTTTTTTCTATATATCGATTCATGTTCCCATTTGCTCATAAAAAGGTTAGCTGCTGAGGGTGCATACTTTGCTCCCATAGCAACTCCTTTCTTTTGCCTATATTATTTACCTCTATGAAAAAAAATATTATGCCCCATAGCTAAATCTAAGATCTGTTTTAAAAATCTTTTTGTTTACTCTTCAAATTGGTACTTTTTTGTAGGGCCCACACCACAGCTTCTAGGGCATTATCATGTCTAATATTAGTATACAAAGAGGTAACGTCTACACTTGCCATAATGACATTGCCCTCAATATTTACATCTCTCAATATGTTTATAAGATCCTTACTATCCTTAAGATAAGCAGGGTATTTCTGAGCAATAGGTTGAAGAAAGGTGTCTAAATATTCACCAGTCCTTGCAAACAAGGAGTCAACACTACTAACTATTGGTCTTCCTGGTGGCTTTTTTTTGTTTTTTATGTGTTTTTGGTAATTGGCAAATAACTGGAACAATAGGAGCATCAGGTACCAAATTTCTTGCCTCCTTTTTATTTACCATACCTTCTCTTTCACCCAATGTGATAAGTCTTTTCAGTTTGGCTTTATATTTATTAGTAGGATTTCCTTTAGTTCTTCATATGTCTCCCTGTCCTTTACCAATCTATTAAGTTCATTCTCATAGTCATTCTTATTAAGAATTACCACACCTCCACCTTTATCTGCTGGCCTTTTTACAATTTATTTTTTCTTTTCTTACTGCCCCTGGATCAAATCTCTTTTTTGTTTGATAGGGGGAATAGTTAATACTTCCAAATCATGTTCCACCATCTTTTTAAAAGCTTCTACACAACAATAGTATTAATCTTAGGATTGAAGGTGGACTTATTTCTCAAATTAGTGTGTACATAATTCCCATCATCCTGCCTGGCTATTGCCCCTATCTTTTCCCAATATTTATTAATATTAACCTTTCTAATAAACTTCTTCAGATCTGCGAATGTATCCAATTTATCTAAATTCCTATCCGGAGCATATTTTAAGCCTAATTCCAACACTTTTAATTCTTCTTTGGTAAAAATAGCATCAGTAAGGTTGAAATTACCCTGCCTTGCACTTCTCTTTTCTTTTTTTTTTTCCCTTCCCCTCTCTACAGCCCCTTCTTCTTGTCTTCCTCCATTTCCTCCATTTCTTGTAAGGTATCCTACATAGGGTGTTGGGTGATCTTGTCTCCAACTCCCCCTTCCTCTCTCCAGAGGGAAATAGGGACTTCCCCTTCCCCCTTAAATTGGATCCTCCCCTTTCTCTCCAAGGAGGGCTTCCATATCCTCTCTTTTGAAAATCCCCTCTAAAAGGATATAGTTATATAATGCATATGGGTTAAAAATGCACACTCTCAGGTTTAATTTGAGGGTATGTACATGCCCTACAGGCACCTCATGTATCTGTCTGTACACCCAGGAAACCGCTGTTACAGGAGCCAGGCTCCTCACGTTCTGCAGAGTACCTGCCATTAATTCCACGTGTTCAGTGTCTCTGGTACTAAGAACCACCAAGGATTGGCTAATCCTAAGATATTTCTGAAGAGGCTGCCTACTGTGCCGTTATCCATCAGTGAGGGGGATTGATCCATTGCTGGACCCTATACCTTCAGGAGGGGGTCCTGGTTCCCGGTTGGTGCAATATTGTTTGAACAAGCGCTTTGACCCTGTGGGGTCGCTTCATGGAGGTGAGGGGGCATTTCACCCAGTGTCGGATCTCCTTCCATGTATAACCTTTCAAACACCAGCACTATTTAAAGGACTATAGAACACCTCCACCGTGGTCTTGGACTTTATAGTTTCGGTTGGATCGTTATAAGTTTATGAGACTCACTATATTTGTTGGATCATTTATATACAGTTTTGGACTTTTTTTGATCCAATATCCAAGTACCGCCCAGCACGCACACTCCGCTCCTCACAAGACCTCCTTCTCTCTAGTTCCCTGGTCTCCTCCTCCCATGCCCGCCTCCAGGACTTCTCCAGGTGTCACCCATCCTCTGGAACTACCTGCACCAACCCATCAGATTATCACCTACTCTCCTCTCCTTTAGGCACACCCTGAAAACCCATCTCTTCAGGGAAGCCTACCCCCGCCCCCTGCTAACTTGCCGACCTCCTCCACTCTTCCTACCACTCCATCCCCCACAGCTATCTCCTCCTGTGCCACCATCCCCTCCCTCCTAGATTGTAAGCTCGAAAGAGCAGGGCCCTCGATCCCCTCATGTTTTGCATTGTATTGGTATTGTTCTGTCACATGTTCTGTCCCCCTTTGTAATGTACAGCGTTGAGCGAACTATTGGCGCTTTATAAATACTGTATAATAATAATAATAATAATCCATTATTATTATTATATGTCACGGATTTATGTTTGTGTCACTTATCTTATAATTTATCCCCTATTTTGGGGTCACAAATAATAGGTTCACTCTTATTTATACTCTTCTACCTCTATTTCCCAGCTACAGGATTACGGTATATAAGCTTTGCAGCTTATACTTTTTTCACCATATACAGCATTGTATTAGTGTCACTTATTCACTAATTCTTCATCTTATCTCCAATTAGGGGTCACTGTTATATGGTTCACCTTTAATCATACCAATTTATATTTTGGTCTGAGTTTTTTGGCTGATTAATTTTCCAGCAACTGTGTTGCGTCATATTAGCCTTGTGGTCTTTTCACCATTCACCACTTTTTTATAGATTCTTCTCAATTTATACTATGTGCACTACGTATGTGTTTATTATTATACAGTGTTTATATAGCGCCAAAGGGTTTGCTCAGCGCTGTACATTGTAGTGGGGGACAGTACATGAGACAATACAGTAACAAAACAAAACACGAGGGGTTCGAGGGCCCTGCTCTTTCGAGCTTACAATCTAGGAATCTATGTTTATACTCTGTTATTTTCTATAGCCACCATCAGTTGGCACACAGTATACCTGAAGGTATATTTTCACATCACAGCACTATTTTAGTGCATATTTAGCACTGCCGTGTTATGATCCCATTTGTGGATTTTATCACTATTTATATTGGCACCATTTATGGTTACGAAGGATTGTCACCTATAGTCACCTATTT